CCGGAATTCATTTGCACCGTGTACCTGGGCACCCTCCTCGCGTCCAAGCATCTCTGGTCCCTGCTCGTTTCAAGGTGGCCTGTGCTATGTTCAGGAACCACATGTATCCTCATCGCCGCCGTCATTCTCCCTGTGGAACATGCATCTTGGGCAGGCCTGAAGGGCATTGGAGCTGTGGGGCGGCGAAGTAGAAGAAGATGGAGCTGGCACCTTGACCACCTCAGACTAGCATGTCATTCGGATGTGTAATTCCGGACAGATCGGTGCTCGATCTACAACACTGCGCTGAATAGGAAACGAGCATCCATGATGATGTATGGGCAGTGGAAGGCAGCTTTCTGTCGGGCAAGGGGACGGTCAACGATCCGAATATCAACACTGCTCCTCTCACGAAAGGCTTGAGCTTTGCTCGACCTTCGGACATAAAAGGTGTCGGCTGCCTTTGCATGGCCCCTACTTGCGCACACGCCTCAATTTGAGTGTCGCACCACCAACATCAAACACGTTCATCACTCGTGAATGACTCATCTCGTCACCATGTTCACTCAAAAAAAAATTCTCGTTGCCATCGCCGCTTCGATATTCTGGAGCTGTGCGCAGGCGTTCGACGATCCAGGCTACAACAATCTCTTCAGTGTGTATCCTTGAACAAAGCCGACGAGGCTTTTGCTTTTGCTTTGCCTGCCATTTCTCTCTGAGCTCCCTGTGTTTTGCCTTTTGCAGGCGTTTTGACCTACCCGAGCAATCTCTGGGATGAGAATAAGCTCAGAGAGGTCTGGACGGCCAACTGCGGCGCGGTCAACGGAAAGAAATGGGAGCTCGGCAAATTTGCAGACGACCGCACCATTTATTGCTATTGCAAAGCCGCGTGAGTGTAGCGCTCAGTCGATTCTCGCACATGGAAGCTAGTTCTGACCAGTATGCTTGCGCTCACAGCGATGGTACGAGCTTGGCTGTGACTGCAGCCAACGCGACCGACAGTAACACTCATGCCCTTGGTTTTGGGACATTTCTAATAGCCTTTGTGCACTGAGTGCACCCGTCTGCCTCGTCTGTACTGCAACAGTGGGGCCGCTCGCTCGGCGAGGTCAAAAAATGTCTGTCCAGTCAATGGCTGTCATTCTTGATGTTGATGGATTCAAGTCTTAGGGATCGAGCCAGTGGTAAAGGGCTACTCACGGTATCCGCACCCTCAAACTCATCCATGTGGCCTCAAAGACTGCAATCTGATCGTTTGAGTCAGAATCCGACTTTTCCTTCTCGATTCGTGTTGCCTGAAGGACTGCCGCGCAGTTTGACAAGCAAGGCTTCGATATGCCCATGTACCTTTGGCGATGGCTAAGCAACGTCAAGCGGCTTCCGTGCACTACGATGAGACCGCTCCCGTCCTTCTTTGCGGCCAGGGTTCAACCGAAGCTCATATGACCGGGGTTTGGGCCCCAGGTACATACGTCATCATGATCTCTCATTCGCGGAGCATCGGTCGCTGCTCTCTCGAGTAAGAATACCGCGGAGGAGCAGAGCCGCCGCTGTCTCTCTACCGAGCTCCATGATGTCAAGCACTTAGTGACGGCGGTCCGGTGGGCCAGGGCGCTCGTATGGTAAAGGGCTGAACCGAGCATACAATCCACAATTGTCTGTCCTCGATTACGGCCGCGCCTCTTAGGTGCGACAGCAAGCTGCAAAGGCCGAGTGTCGCAGACGGTGCTCCTGATCCGGCGTAGAGGGATCATGGACTGACGTCTTAAAAGGCTTCATTTCCTTGTGCGTCTCCATCACTTCCTCCTTCATTCGCTTCAATCACTACGAGCGGCAATACGTGCCAGCAACCAATACACATTCAAAACCCCTCATCCTTTTTTACTGAACTCGCTCGCTTTCACCATCGACATGGTCTCTGTTCGCCTCTTCCGCAACCTTTCGGTAGCTGTCTTTGGTATGCTTGGAGTCAAGGCTTTCGAGAATCCAAGACGTCACCTTCTCTACCGTGAGTACCGTCAGTCTCTGACTCGCGTCTGGACTTCGGATTGGACACCTGGCCCACAAAGCTGACGCATCTGGCATTGGTATCAAAGGTGTCGTCAACGCCCCTCTGGAATGGGGAATCAATGACATCAAGAAACACTGGGCGACACATTGTGTGAAAGCTTGTCACGATCAAGGATCGTTCATCGCGACTGAAGATGTGGGCTATTTTTCCTACGACCCAACTACCTACTTGTACTGCTACGATGAGTGAGTCAACATTGCTATGGTCACACGACGTGGCTCCACAGCAGACATCTCACGCCAAGATGCTCGTCTTGCATCTGCGCGCTCCGTCGATGATCGCAGACACGAGCAAAGCTGGGCCACTGAAGCGGCAGACACTCTCAATCAGGAGAATATTGCAAACGCGCAGTGGGGTCAAGTGGTAGGCTTGTTCTCAGTCGCGCGTGTCGGCTAGAGCGTCATCGACGCCGAGTCTCTGAAGCGCAGCGAGCATTCAGTGATTATGCGCCCGAGATCGGTCGCGATGGTCTGCTCACACTTTAAGTGCACATCGTACGCTCGCACAAACCGCGGCATGTCTGCTGCATAATTGTGTGCTGAGTGCAAAGCATGTCATGCCACAGACAGCTTATCCTCGCCATCCATCGTGTATCGTCAGGCGGGTCTCGGTACCGAAACTCAATCTTGGCACAATCACTGTCGATAGAGTGCCTGTGTACATGCAGACGTCCACCCGACCGCGCTTAGTGTCCGTCTGAAATCTGACTCACCTCTTCTCACAAGAACGCCAGCATTCGTGACTCTTGACTGCATGCCCATTTTCTTCAAACTTCGACCACAAAACACCAGAATCCAATGCTACCATGAAGTCACCGAGTTTGGTGCTGCGCACAGGTCTAGAAAGTGCAGGCGAGCTCAGATTCCGTACGAGCTGAAATAAGGCTTCAATCAGCAATGCACTCTGGGCCTCCACCGAGGACTCTCGAGAAGAAGAAATCGCGAATTTTTGCTCCAGCTTTTGGGCGATGCTGACGATCTCAATGCTCCTTCGGCCCTGTTCATGAGCAAAGTGCGCTGTTCATGTGATGGGTCAATCGCTAAATGGGTGCACGGGTGGCTGGCTGACGATGCCGCGCTCGGCGACCCGTTGCTCGCGTGTCTCCGCGCGTCCTCAACTGCAAGTTTGAATGAATGAAGCGCAGAATCAGTCCCTCTCATACATTACGAGCGGCGGATTGAGGGAGCCGCTGCAGTCCCTCACGGCTCTACCTAGGTCTCATGACCTTACCACCTTTCGGCCCGGTGAGTCCAAGATCTCGTTGTGGGGGCACATCTGACCAATGGACCCTCGGCGCTGGTTTTCTTTGTGCCTCAGGGCCTAGGTTTCTGCCCAGACATGCCAAGCTGTCTCTCGCATTCATTTGTAAGAAGTCCGCGAATGCGGCGGGCGGCCCGTGTAGATGCGCCGATAAAAAGGGATGGTCTGCGCTTCGATTCGTTATGTTTCCCACAAATTGGCTACCGGCAGCTGTTCGTTGTCAGCGGCTAGCACTTCAGCGACTTACGCTCCCTGCGCTCTTTTTGGTGCACAATCGACGCTGCCTCGACAGCAGCCCGAGATGGTCTCTGTTCAACTTCTTCGCCTCATTTGCATTGTTATGCTAGGGGCTATCAAAGCCAAGGCCTTCGAGGACCCAAAGCGTGGTGCGCATGACGAGGGCTGTGCCCCATATGTTAGACTGATGCAATGTCAAGAATTGACCAAGGAGCTACGCGACCTCCTCCAAAAGGTCTTGTGAGCTATCCCCTCCAGTTGGGCATTGGGACTGTCCAGCACACCTGGGCTCAGTGCTGCTTGCAAACCTTGAATGACAACCAAATGCAACTTGCAACGGAGGACGTGGGCTATTTTCCAAGAGATCGGACGATCTACCTCTACTGTTATGATGAGTGAGTTGGAAAGGCCGCACCCAGCAGCAGGCCCTGTACTTGGCGCCCAATGCAGCTGATCATACTCACACTACTGCCATGCCCACTTCTGAGAACAGAGAGGATCATAGTTGGGCTGTTGAGGCTGCAGACGCCATCACTACGGACACCATGCCCAGTGCTCCCAAGGACACGCCCATGGTCCCTTTCCGCGTAGCATTCGTGCGCTAGGCGCTCGCGAAAGCCATATGCAAAGACATCTGATCCAAGCCTAGCGTACACAGTCTGCATTGTACTGGTACTTTGGGCGCGCGTCCAATTGATTCGAGCTCTTGGTGCGCATGACGAGGGCTGTGCCCCATATGCTCGCTAAATGGGCGGCAATCAAACTTCAAAAGTGCGGCCAGCAGAATGCAATACTGTGACTTTATGTTGATCTCAGCGACTAATCCGAATTCACGACGCAAGATTCGCGGTAGTCACGCGACAGGCTGCCCGCCACGCGAGTCGCGCTCCAGTGGCGATTTCACCTTTGACGTCCCCCGCGTGCTACTTACAAGGCTTCTATTGAAGTTTCCACTGTCGGCCTGAGCATGCTGGACCCCATCACTGGCGTGGCTGTTCGAATCGTTCGTTCGGACAAGCTGCACCTTGCACATTGGTCACCACAAGATCTTCCAGATAAGATTGATCGAGTGCCGGCCCACATGGGGCTCACTGGCATCGAGGACTGTCAAGGATAGCTTTCTAGGATGGCTCCGACGGCTATCTTCGGAACGAAAATCGCAAGGCCTCGGCCCGTCCCGCGTAGCTATGCCAACCCGGCACAATAGATGAAGGCGTAGTCCTATTAATCGAATCTGCTCGTGATTGAATCAGAAGAGAACTTGGGGCAGACAAGCAACTGATGTTGCTGCTTGTCCGCGCTGACAATGTGCGTCAGCGCCGAGTCCAATCGTCAATCTCCTTTTTGCGTCGTGTATAAGAAGGCGCCATGAGTCAGGGTCCCTCGCCCTTCACGCGCACCCCATTCAAGTCATCAAAACAGTCTGAGTACCTGTCGAGCGTTGCGATCTACGAGACGTTCAAGAGCGAGAAGAGCACCAACTCGATATGAAGTCCTTTCGTTTTCCGCTCTTTTGTCTCGGCGTGGCCTTACTCGCCACTACCCTCGTTGGTGTGCAAGCATTCACAGACCCCGAGTATAATCTGCTTTACTGTGAATCAAATCGTCTTGCTCGAGGTCGCGAATGTTGCCTCAATGATGGTAGAATTGACTGACAGTCTTTCTCGCATGTAGGAGTCATCGATCGTCCCGTACAGTGGTCATTCAACGGATTGGCGAGCCGATGGGCGAAGCAATGCGAGGATACGTGTAAGAAAGGCAAGTCCGACGAATACACCTCAGATATTGGCCGTTTCCCTGGTGACCCGACCCTCTACATCTATTGTTATGACCGGTGAGTGGTTGTGAAGACTAGCTCTAGCAAGTCAGTGACCTAGATGCGCGCTGACATTGTCACGCGGCATAATTCTGTCCAGAGCTACTGTCAGCAAAGTCATGGAAGCAGCCGAGGGTCTCAATAAGTGAATTCGAGCCAGTGGCATACTGGGCGCGTTCAGCACTGGATATGTAAGCTGAATCATATCAGCAGTAGGGAATAAACACAGAAAAGCGCTGCAAGTAAAGACCAAATAAAGCATCGTAATTGAAGTTATTCTACAGATATTATAGCAGTGAATGAAGATACGTCCTAACAGACTGCCAGCAGTGTCATGCTCGATGTCCGCCTTCATTTGTACCAGCTGCAAGAATCAATTGTTTCAGACATAATGGTGGTGTGTTCGTGAGTCCTATAAACCTGTTGAGAGGAGGGTAACATCGAATTTGTGATGCGCACTTCCGGGCGGAGGGGGAAGCTGTGTAACGATGATCGCGCCGGCTTCAAATTTCTTGAGCGCCATTGCCAAAGGGCCTGCAGCGAATGCACACCATGTTCACCGTATCTGATATCTGACCTGTAAGACAACGCGTACTTGCAGCACGTCATCTCGGTAGACCGGTTTGACATGCCTTTTTTTTTTGGTCCGCGTGAAGCGATACACGGCGCGCCGGACCAGTGGTCAAAAGCACTAACACCATCAGACAGGTGTACAGCCCTGAAGTGCACGACTCAGATGCTGTCTCCAACTTTAGGGCCGGACAAAGGGCGTCGCGCTACAAGACAAGGTAGAGCTTACTCTAAGGGTCACACGAGGTGCCGACTTGCCTGAGATGTTCACGGTCACCCATCATGGTGTTGACCAATGGGACCATTCGTAGTTACTTCTGCTTCTCCGTTTAGCTAGTACCGCTGAGCAGCTCCATCGATGGCAATTGAGGCGCTATGTTGAGGTGCTGTACTCACAAACGCTCATCTCTAGCCCATCTCATCCTCGACTTGATTGTGAATTGAGGAGCGGCTTAGAACAGGCCGATGGGGAATGTTCCTCTTGACAATCAAGCGAATTTACGGATTCATTCTTCTGGACAATGAGTCTTGAGACAAGGCATCATGCCTCCGAGCAGTAAATCTAGAGATGCTTGTATCTTTTGTAGGAGACAAAGGCATCATGCCTCCGAGCAGGAAATCTAGAGATGCTTGTCTCTTTTGTAGCGTGTTCCAGGCAATTGTGAGATTACGAAGCTCCAACTCTCGTCTGAGGGCCTTTTTGCACCTCGATATATGAGCCACCTTCAACTTTTCGAGCTGGCTCGTTGTAACTTGGTGTGTTTGAGCTGACAGCCAAGTTTCTTGCAGATCCGAAATACAAATCCATCTCAACTCGTGACCTGTGTAAGACGTGTTCTGCGGTTTTTACCCCGACAGCTGCTCGGGGAGCACCGCTTCAAAAAATCTGCCTCCTCAGCGAACTTTTGCCTGATATTTCTGCGTATACGTAATGAGCTTTGGCACTACAAAGAAGTTCATGGCGCGACCTGGGTCCGGACATCAAGCCGACCAACCGCATGAATACGAAATGAAGTATTATAAAAGAGTGTTTACGAATGTCATGAAGATCTGAGTAAGCAGCACGCAAACTCACGTTCTGGCGGAGGACCACCAGGGTGTGTATCGAGCTCCCGAGGCACTAAGAGTGGGGAGACTTCTATTTAGCCTCAAAAGCCTTGCTGAGACAGAAAGAGCGCTCGCACGTTTCTTTTTGTCTGACGAGCTTGCAATTGCCGGTATATGGAGAGGCGTTGCTTGACGATTTCATTTGGTGCCGCTTCGGCATTTTTCGAATACGTTTCGGCGACATCTGATCGTCACCGAAAGCTAAGGAAAAGGAAAATTTTGAGCGTACAAACGGTTAGAACCAAAATCGAGAATCGCCGAAAACAGAACTGGCTTTTTGACGATTGCGAGGGGGCCACTTGAGATAGAAATAGGCTCGAGCAACCCGCCCTTTTTTTGGCTCCCGCTCGCACTGCTGCCGACCGCCGTCATTCTGATCACACCTCTTGAGCTCACAGATTGTACTCGCGCCCTTCACATTTGATGAGGACGATTTTTGCTGGTGGATTTGTTCAATCCAAAATTTTTGGGAGGCACATCGTGGCGCACAACGTAGTCTGGCTGAATTGATAGATGCTATTCCATTTCGACGGTTGTTCTTGTTTGGTATGTACGTGTCTGGGGCAAAATATGTTCAAGCTCTTAGGTCTGCGGCTCCAACAGGTTTGTGCGGCTCCCCATCTACACAACGTGAAAATGTAGCGGACGCAAAGGCAGAGCAGATTCACGCGAGAATAGCTGATGGGCCATGATTTAAGAATGATACTGACCTGTTCCCCACCTCTTCCTTGCTCTAGTGATTGGTTTATCCCACACAAACCCCAAGTCCGACAGTATGTTCCAAGCGACTTTTTACCGCCTTCTCTGCACACGCACGCATCTTCCCTTTACAGCATCCTTCCAAACTAGCCGACCAACAAGAGTGGGTTTGCAAGAGATGCATTGCGCACCAACACCTGCTTATCCTGCTTCTTCCCACAGGGAAATTGAACGCCTTTGTGGCATTCTGCTTGTGCGTCAAGCGCAATTTGTCATCCTTGCAGAACGCATGAGGCGCTTGCGGGAGAGTTTGGAGGAACTGGAGGGGGAGTTGGCAGAGCTGGAGGCGCAAGCAACCCTTGTGAGTGTTTTTGTCATGCCCCTTTTGCGTGTTGCATGCTCACCGAGGACATTGCAACAGCCACAGGTGCCTCGGCATATTCAAGAATTCTACGAGAATCTCTTGAGGAAGCAGAGGGAGTTGGGGGCCTGAAGTGAGCAATGCGGCGCAGGCGCTTACTTTGAGTTGGGCACCGTCTGACCTACGATCCTCTGAACACAGGGTTCTCTTTTGAGTCTGTGGTGTTGTCCGATGCTGCGCTCTTGATCCGCTGTCTCTGTCTCGATGCTCGCGACGCTCTTGCAATTGCAATCGCATTCACAAGGTCAATGTGTTGTGTGCGCAAGGCTCCTGAAGTTGGCCAAGCAGCCATCCCCGCCATGTGGTGCGTGCTAGTGTAGAGCTGGAGTGTTGGCGAGAATGCGTGCGCGCAAAGCA